AGGACGACGTCCAGACCTTCAATGCCTTCGCGGTCGTCGGTGCAAACGGCACGATCGTCCGCGCCGGCGAGAAGCAGGTCGTCGTGGCGGCCAGCCTGGCTGGTCCGCTTTTCATCGAGACCGATGACGGCCCCCAGCAGGCCGGGCGTGTGAGTTGCGCGCTGTCGTCCAAGATCGACCAGGCCAGCCGCAAGACCAGCGCGTCGGGCGGTTGCACGTTCACGGCGGGCGACGGTGCCACGGCGTGGGGCGAATGGGACTGTGCCGGCTATGAGCTCGTCGGCTGCCGCGGCACCTTCAAGCTGACCGGCGGGACCGGCCGCTTCGCGGGAGCGAGCGGCGAGAGCACGCTGATCTGGCGTCCGACGGCGCATGAACTGAAGAAGCAGCTCGACGGCACGACGCTCGACAATGCCTCCGGCATCGTGCTGTGGCGCGATTTCAAGCTGAAGGGGAAGTAGCCTTCAGCCTGGCGGTGGAATGGGCACCCGGCTGCGCTGCAGGAGATCCTCCAGCGCCTTGATGCCCTGCTGGTAGCGTCCCTTCTGGCAGTCGATGCCGGCCCCGAGGCGCGTCATGTCGGGGCCGCCCGAACCTTCGCTGCGGCGCGTATTGTAACGGTCGTAGAGCGCGCCGAGTTCGGCGCATCGCGCGGCTAGCTGCTCGTTGGTCTGCTGGGCGCGTGCCTCCATCGCAACCGGCAACGAAGCCGCAAGGGCGCAGGCGATCAAGGCGCTGGAGCGTATTGTCATTGCCTCATCCTAGAGGCTTTCCGACTGCTACTGGATCACGTCGCGGTGACCCGCCGACGAAGCCGCGCCGGCCGCCTGACCTTGCACCCTTCCGTGGACGCGATGTACTGTCGTTTGCCCCTTTTCTGCGGGGCCCAAGGGGAGAGGCGATGACGGCGCGATCGATGGTTCAATGGACGTTCGTGATCGGTATCGCAGGGCTGCTCGCGGCCTGTGGCATGGCGAAGGGGACGCCGGGTGAGGATCCCCGGACGGAAACCAATGCAACGCAGGTGACCTGGACCGACGGCAAGCCGGCCATCGCCATCAGCTGCAAGGAGCCCGGCGGGTGCCAGACCCGCGCGGTTGCCATGTGC